CTCTCACATCCACTCCAATTTCCTCACTTAAGTGCACCCCAGAGAGAGCCGGCAAAAAAAAGGTCTGACTTTAAAATCGCGCGACACAGACGAGAACGCCTACTCGGATAGTTTACCGGGGGCAAAAAAAAAAAAAGAAGCACACTGGAGGCTGATTAATAAGCGGCAACAGAGAAGAAGAGAAGGAGGGAACCAGATGGATATGACCACTCATAGTGCTTTTACACTCATGTCATTCACACCCATTCATACACCGATGACCGGGGATACCATGCAAGGTGCCACCTGCCCATCAGACCGTCTAATCATTTACACACCTGACGGCATCGCCTAGAGGAGCCGCCGATCTTCTCAATTGAAGGGACGACCCGTTTACGAGCCACAGTCATACATATTGCGAGAAATGACTCATTGTTATAGACCAGGTTAGTGTCTTTACCGTTACGAACTGCTATTCCTCACTGGAATTCCACGTGTCATATAACTTAAGAGTAGTTATCTGGAAGTGGTAAAGGGAGGTTTCTCAACAAATTGACTTTTCTTTTGTTGCCAAGCAACATTTATAACAGCCGAGAAAGTCCCCCGAACGACAGCTGCTGGAAAGACTGCGTTGTGTTCCGCCGCTCACGACTTCAGAGCCTCTACAGTCAACAGAGCTCGACTGAACTCCAATCAAGCTATATTTCTGTGTAATAGAAAAATGAACCACAATTTATTTGCAGCAATTACAATCAAGAGCGATGTTTCTCCGTGACTGTAATTGATTGATTACAACAAGCAAAAAGAGCTTGGGGTGAGTAGAGAGAAGCGCGCAGTCTTGAATTAAAATAGTAAATAAATGCAATGAGGTGAAGATCTCAGTGTGTGTGTGTGTTTGGTTTAGCATGAGTTGGGCTCTGAGCACCTCATTCAGCACAGTTAGAGCGCGTCGGCCTTGAACCAGGAAAACAGATGAGGAGTAATTGGATTTAAATCAGACATGTTTCCATGCTCATAGCTACCGAATGTAACGTGGAGCACAATCCCCTCACTCACTCACCCACTCACCTCGTTTAACATCCCTCCATCTCTTAGTGCTCACACAATTCAGCCTTTTGACTCCATTGTCCGTTATCTTTCTCATTCCCGTTCTCCAGCCCTCTCTAATTGCTTTTTCCTCCAAATCTGAATCTTAATCTGATCCATCATCTAATTGTGTATTCTTTTTCTGCTGCTCTCCTGGGCATCCATTAGCACCTTTTTTTTTGTTATTACTACCAGGAATTAACCGCAAAGTATATTTGATAACTAAGTTAATCTTTTAAGCGTAACAGCTTGTTTTGTCTCAGAAAGACTTCACATTTGAGAAGCTTGAACCAGCAACCATTTGGCATTTCTGTTTTATAAGTCACAGCTCAGCTACCTTCACTATGAGCCACAGATCCGTCGAGCTTCATGTCTCTCTGCACGCTGAAGTGACGTGCACGGCGTCTTAGAAACAGCAGTACTTGGCGTTTAAAGGAAGGTGTGGTGAATGGAGTCTGTGTGCTCGAACACGAGGCGCCGTCGTTAGCAACCCAGTGCGACTTCAAATGCCAAAGAGAAAGTGTGATTGTGGAGTTACAGTCCCGTTTTAAAAACACACAAGCTCCGCTCGTGATTATGATGACGTGTTCAAACGCAATCGTGAAAAATGTAGTATTTGGCGAGCAACGTGAATAAATACAGTTGTTTGAGGGAGATGTTTTCACAGTTTATTTGAGAAGCTGAGATATTAGATATTAGAGAGGGAATTATGACCTTATTTCCTTATCATTTGAATCGTGTTTTGTTTTTATCCAAATAACTATTCGGTTTATACCGTCATCGGGGCAGTTGGCACTACTTTTGAGGACGGTGGTGAAAAAAAAAAAAAAAAAAAAAAAAAAAAGATGTCTGCAGCCTTGTATACCATCTGTTATAACAAAAACAAAACTATCTGTATCGGCTGATAAGGCTGATCAACATTCGACAATCACTATAAAATGTGATCGGGGCATCTCTAAAATAAAAATTTGCTCCTTTATTCTTTTCTGCTGAATCGCAAAACCACCTTGCGATCTGAACTGGTAGTTATGCGATCCGCTGCAGCCCTAGTATGTGCATACGTATCGTGCATCTATTGCTATGTGGGTAGACGCTTGTGGACATACTGCATCAGAAAGTGTGCGTTTGTGACAGCGTGTGTGTTTCACAGATACTGAACGAGCCAGTGCTATTCCTGTGGGAAGGTTGTATCTCAACCCAAAGAAAGAGTATGTGTGTGTGTGTGTGTGTGTGTGTGTGTGTGTGTGTGTGTGTATATAAAGTCACATCTCAACCTCGGCCAAGATAGTTGCTTCTGCCAATAAGGGCCGGCTGTTCACACATCTGCATGCACGCACGCACGCACGCAACTGAAGTGTGCTTTTTTTCCCCAGCCATTTTCATGTGACACATTCTGAGAAAAACAAAAATTGTTGCCTCTGTTTTAGTAATACACTGTTCCCCGCTTGGGAGTATCCCCCCCCCCCCCACACTTTGAGTGTGTATCTCTTTCTCATTCAGCATCTTATTGGTCCCAGTGGTAGAGACCACTGGTAAAGACCAGTGGTAGAGACCAGTGTCTTCCTCTGGTCACCGTCATCTCCTCCTCTCATCCTTCACTGCGGGACTTCCATTCCCTCTGGTGTCCTCAGTTCGACCCCTCACTGCGGTCATTAGCAGACGCGAGCCGACGCCCTCGATCAGGCTGAGGTCTCATTAGTCTGAATTGGATTCATAGGACAGCTAATTGGAATAAGTTAGTCGGACTGAAGAAGACAAAGCGGTCAAATCATTAAAACAACAACCTGGAATTGCATTCAACACCAATTTGAATGCAACATCCCTCATCTGAAACATAAACCCGCCTTGAAAACTTGAGACCCTTGAAGACTAACAGACTGCTCCGACATCAGAGACTCCCACGTGATCAACCTGACAGTGCCGAGGCCCAGCATGTGACTGGTCCTCGCCGGGTGTGATAGCACACAACACACATCCCCTGTAATAATGGATCCATCCTGATAATGCCTCTATCTGGCTCCCTTTCTTGGTCTCCGTCTCTCTGCAGGGCTCCGCAATGTTACTGCAGCCACCGGCTGATACTGCACAACTCATCTATATTTCAGTAGGGCCCTGTTGAGTGTGTGTGTGTGTGTGTGTGTGTGTGTGTGTGTGTGTGTGTGTGTGTGTGAGAGAGAGAGAGAGAGAGAGAGAGAGAGGGAGATGGGCCATGTCAGTGGACATTCGCTGCTTTAATTCACTGATGTAATTTTGCTTTTAGGGCCGGTCGGATAAACAGAGCTCAGTGTTGCAGTCCGGCGTGTTGATAACTGTGAGGCTGCGAATGCACCACAACAGTCCGTGAAGGACACCAAAAGTCAAAATCTCAATTAATCGCTGTCGAGCTTCTACTTTTGTAATTTGGAACGATAAGGAGGAGGACTTTTCTGCCTAAAGAAACAGTGCTTGAAGTGGAAGAAGAAGAAGAAAAAAGGGCCAGTATCACTATTGCATTCTGAATTTCTAGAATGAATGAGGGTAATAGCTTTTGACTCTGCAATTTCACATCATTTCGGGTCATTATTATGATTACTTTAGACAACACCCAAAAAGCTTGGACGCTAAACTTGCTATAGTTAAATAAATATCTTAATATTTACACATCGAACAGCCTTCATCCAAACATTTAACTCTGCTGGAAATGTTGTCCTGTAAAGTCATACTCTGTAACTCAAAAGCCCACATTTAGAGAACTTCTAAACTTTGTTCATCTATATTTGTTCATTCATAATATACAAACAAAATGGTTATGGACGCACACATTTTTTTTATCTTCATGCGGCTTATGAGGTGCGGTGCAAAAAAAACGCTGGCAGTGCGCCGTATGATTGTGAGTCGCCCTGATAAGCCGACATGGAGAGGGCAGAGAAGAGCAGCAGCAGCAGCTTGGTAAGTTTGTATTCACCGTAGCGAGTCACGCCAGAAAAAGATGTAAAATCATGGCCGGCGAGTGGTGTGTGTGTGTGTGTGTAGGGGTCCGCAAGTGGTCTCTTGATCCCGTTGGTCGGGCTCCTCTGAACTTTTGTAACTTGGCAGGCGCGCCCACATCACAATAAGTTCACTGATAAAAGCATTTTTTACATGTCTGGGGATTTTTTACAGATAATACTGCTGGCACTATCTTCACACTTACCAGACAGACATGAGAGTGGTATCAATCGTTTTATCCACTTGTCGGAAAGGAAGCCACAAAAGCAATATTCCCAAGATGTCTTAAATTATTCCTGAGAAGTTTAAAACTGAAACTTCTGAGAAATGTGGCCGTGGGAAACACAAACATGAAAGCGTTGGCTAACTGTACTGAATTTCAGTCTGACTCAGAGTGACAGCTGTGCAACTCATAACCAGCAGCCTGTATCAGGGCTGGCAGGAAGCCTCAAACACACACACACACACACACACACACACACACACACACACACACACA